AAAACCGCCTAATTTCATGTTTCCACTGCTTACTTAGTAAGCAATAATCTTAAATAACTTTAAGATTTTTCCGTTTCCATTGATTTTAGTTACTTATTTTGAGTGAAAGAGCTTTTATGTGTCGAAAAATTCTTTGAAATTTCTAATAGAACGTTTGTTTGTTTAAATAAACAACACATCACATAATACATCACACAAAAAATTAAATTTATAATTGATATATTAAATCATTTTATATATCACTTACAAATTCAATTAATAAAAACAGCTCAGTTTACAGCTCAGCTGTTGGTTGTTTACATTTTATATATAAAACATATAACAAATTCACAAATTTTTTTAATTTTCCTTGTAGGAAATTTATTTTTAAAGGTTCCATTCAACATTTTTTTTGCTTAAATCAATTGATTTATTTATAATGAGCTCATTTATATGAAAGCTTATTATAATTTGCATGGTAATTCGAATTTCAAAAAAAACGCAAAACCTATTAAATAATATTAGTTTTGTTTTTCCGAGTTTTCGACATAAAATAGTTTTTGGTGAAAAATATTAAATTTAATATTAAATTTAACACAGTTTTATTTTTCTTACAATTATGACTTTTTTCTTTTAATTTAATGATAGTATTTTGTGTTTATACATGTTTTGCATGTTTTAAATTAACTTAATACAGCAATTATAAATTTTCATGAATAATAAATTATTGACTTCTACTAACCTATCATAGTAGAACCTATCATAACCTATCATAGTTAACAAAACTTCACAAGTTTTGTTAAAAAAATTATTTTTTTAAAATATTTAAATTTATTCAATTAAAAAATAAATTAAAAATTGAATTAAAAAAATAAAATTTATACTCGTAACGGTTATAAAAAATACACAAACTCTTTTGTCATCTGACCGGATTTTTCCATATTCTTCCAAAAATTATTCACAATAGATCAGTTGGCCCATTGTAATGCAAGTGTGCCTTACTCATTATGAATTTACAGTAAGTGGACTTATTTTTGTGAATTTTGTTTTTACTTTGCATGTTAATTTATAAGCGAGACGTGTTCTATTAGAGCATTCAAGTCAAAAGAATACATCTTACATAAATGAGCAAGTGCCTAAATGAGACAATGTGAATGTACTACATACATTAAAAATTTTTAAACAAAATATTTTCTCATATTTTTTTTACTATTTTCTCTTTACTTTATTAATATTTTTGCAATAATATCTGTTTTTGTTCTATTTGTAAGTGTGAAATGTATCTTATGTTTTTTAATTGTTTTTAATACTTAATTTATTATATCAAGTAAGTTAAACATAAATTCTTAAGTTAAATCTGAAATTCATATGAATGTTTTTGTAGATAAACAAAACTGATATGAACTAATTTCTTATAACTTTTTTTTTTGTTTTGTAAATATTAGTTATACTCTTAATAATCCAGTTATTTTCCTTGTGGCGCTATACCTATATGAAAATGAAAAACCCATCACTGCTGTTTCATCTTCAACTCCGACTATCATGAATATTACTTATGCGCATTCATGCACAAAAGCAACTCTTCGAGAATAATTTTAAACTCACAATTCTTATTTAACAACAAATAAAACGACCAACCTCTTCCATTACCGAAAAACTAATGCAAAAATCCAATTTCTTATGCAAACATAAAATTTCACTTCCATCTTCGAACGAAATCCAGGTCAAGCAAACCATAAAATCATTCATCATTTTTATATATATATACATATTTATATATATATATATATATATATGATTGTTTCAATGTGTATATATATACACATACGTATACAATATAAATAGATATATGCTAATGTATGTACATATATATCATCATATATATATATATATGTATGTAAGTATATATATATACATACATATATATTTTGCATGTGCATAAGTATTTATAAGTGTTAGGCTACGTTTGCAAAATTTTTAATGCTACCGAAATCCCCACAAAAACGAAGGAATCAAATGTTCGTAGCACTGTAACTGCTCAAGTTGCCAAAGGATAAGTGTCAAAAATTGACTACGTGTTTGTATAAATACAATTATAAATATATGTATCTGATTGTATATACATTATTGTTTACGGATGCCAACTCGGTAATGTGCACATATAAATTTTGTGATGAGTTTTTAAAAGTTTAAATGTATGCGCAGATTTTCACCTTTTCCAGCTTTTCCAATTTTTCAGTCTCTGAGCATTTGTTTTATTATTATAAGTTGATTTAATTTAAAACTGCTGACCGAATTGGCTGGGAAATGCAAATGGTTTTGTTTTTATATGCACACAATATATATAATAAATATATATATATTTGAATTTTATATTTTTTGTCAATTTATAAGGTAGCAAACACCTTTTATTTATTACTCGTATATAATTTCAAGAAAAAATTTATTATAATGGAAATAATTTTTCAGTGATTAACAGAAACCCTCCGTTTCAAGTAAGTCAAATTTTACATGTTTTTTACTGTTTTGACTAACTTTTATTGGTTTTAAATATAGAACAGTTCATCTTTTATCAACAACCTGATACCATTTTTACATCTAGAACATCTAAGCAAATCATCAGATAAAAAATCGCCTCGGAGTTACCTTTGAAAATTGTTGGAAATTTATTTTTTAAAAATCTTTACTATATTTCGCGTGAAAAATTGATTCAAAACTCAATGTAAAAAGATTTTTCACAATCCCAAAATTTTTTAGAAAATTTATTTTAAATTATGTGTCAATTGATCGTGCGAAATTTGCGTTAGTACTAAATTCAATGAAAGATTATTTTTGTATTATAACAAGAAATCTATCACAAATGAAGAAAGCGGTAAGAGAAAAGGGAAATTTTCAAGTACAAAAAAACATGTTTAATTCTCAATCAAGTTAATTCTTGGACTGACCATAAAAATGCTGCGGATATCTGTCATTAGTTGTTGTTTAATAACACCACCTGCTCTGCAAACTCCACTTTCACCTGTGCCACGCCCATGCTTTCTGACTTAGATAAGCCTAGATCTTTATATATGAAGGTTGTGTGCAAGATCGATTAAATTGAGGTAAAATAAATTGATATTTCCTAAGAATTTTTTGCATTGCACTTATGTAAATATTTATTTATTTATTTATTGCACTTATGTTATTTATTAGTTTTAGTTAAAAGTTCTTAAATGTATTTATTCATTTATTAAATATCTTATAAAATTTCCACAATGGTCACAACTAATTTACCTAATTCTTTTTTAATTTACCCTACTCGAAATTCTGGTAAATACCAACATTCGCTACCACACCGACATAATTTACTGTTTCCAGCAATTTACCATCAATTTACTCGAACTCGCACACTGCCTAAGCATCTTGATAATTTTTCTCTCTTAACCGCTGAAATGTGGCGGAAATGTTCTCTATTTATAACTAAGAGGGGATTTTATTGGATTAAAGTCTCATACTTTACATGACTGCAAAAAAAAATACCTGCTGATGATCTTTTGAAACATCTGTTGGCTTAAATTTAATTTGTTTTGGACTGTAAGTGTCAGATTTGAGTGTCAGATTTGAGTGTCAGATTTAAGTGTCAGATTTAAGTGTCAGATTTGTCAAATTTAAAACAGGGACCTGCGATTCTAATTGCATAATCAGTGCTTTTTAAACTATTTAAATTATTTTTCATTTTTTTAGTACTTTGAGAATCGAGAGAAATAAGTAATTTGTAATAAGTAATTTACTGTAATTTACTGTTACTAGGACTCTATGCCACCATATTGATTAATAAAAAATATAGGTGGTTAATTCAAACTTCCTTTTTTTCTCCCACCCTCTTTTTCGATCTGTCGTCTCACATATTCTCTCTCTTTCTCTGTCGTAGATATTTTCTTTGCCTCTCTGCCACTCTCCCTGTCAAATGGAGCTGTCAGAAGCTGTGATATAAAGCGGTCACATACATTGTGACCGAAAAGTTTCCGGAAATTTTAAATAAAACGCAAAATTCTTAATCTTCATCAATATTTATTTTATCTCCTTCAAAATATCTCCATTAGAAGCGATACACAAAGGCCAACGTTTCTTCCAATCATCAAAACATTTTTATAGGCGCTTTCCGGTATGGCTTTGAGTTCCCTCTGCGAATTCTGTTTTACGTCTTCTATGGATTCAAAACGCGTTCCTCTGAGTGGTAATTTGAGGTTGGGAAACAGGAAAAAGTCACACGGTGCAAGATCAGGTGAATACGGTGGCTGTTCGATGGTATTTATTGAATGTTTGGCCTTAAAATCGTTGATAATGTTGAACAAATTGAGGTGAATCGGAACAAGCCGGGCGTTGACACGTCGCATACACAAATTGTCCACCAAAATCAAACGAGCCATCTCACGACCGATGCCTAGCTCTCGTGCTATCTCTCTAACACTCACATGAGGATTTTTGAACACGATTTCCTTTGCCTTTTCAATGTTTTCGTCGGTGGTAGAGGTCGAAGGTCGTCCAGAACGCGGCATGTCTTCGACGGTCGTACGACAGTCCTGAAAGGCTTTGTACCACTCATAAACTTGAGTTTTCGATAAAACTGATTCCCCATAAGCCTTTTGTAGCATTCGCAACGATTCTGCACACGAAATTTCGTTCGAAAAACAAAATTTGATGCAAACTCTTTGTTCAATATTTTTTTCCATTGTTTTTTTCGCAACGCACTACTGAGGTGAACTGGTTTCAACAGCTGCCGTAAACGAACTGTCTTACAGATCGCGCTCATTTTTGGCATAGTAATTAAGGACAGTGCTGCCAAACTACATAAACTTAAAATATCGAAAAATATACAGCGCGCGAATTTTAAATGAGAATTTTCGAAAACTTTTCGGTCACAATGTATGGAATCAGCCTTTAATGTAGCATTCACTGTATCATAAAAAATTCTGGCAAACTAAAGTCGATTTGTACAGCAATGGATTGAAGACAAAGTAAAAATTACACTCAATTTGGGGTTATGTAGTTTCACGGCTTTTATTATTCAGTTATTGTGTTTGTTGTTTTTTTAACAAAATTTTTATAGTACAGTAGTAGCTCTGTTTAGTATATACTTTTTTAAAAACAGTGTAAGAAAAAGAAATATACACGCAACTGTGAATAAATAAAGTTTTCCGCATTTCTATAACCCACTAAAACGTACAGAACTTCCATTTCATACAATTAGATGTGATTCTTCTTTATATGATCCAACATGTATCAATTTGTTTTCAATTTTCATATATTGGATTGTTTCAATACATATTGTCTACGAGAATGTCTTCAACTACTTTGTCATCTATTTTGCTCTTGTTGTTATTGATTTTAGTGTTTTTCGCAAGGTTATCATTGGTCATAATCTGATCTCCTCTCCTAGTCAGTCAGTTTATGTCAGTTTATGGACTTTCGTTTTATTAGGATTGTGAACTATGGAAAATTATTAAGAACATATTCTGAGTAATAGTACCTTTAATTTTCGGTGAAAAAAGTGAATTTCTGTTTTGTTGAAGTTGTGGACTCTGGATAATAATTAAGGAATACGTTCTAATTATATAGAAATGTTAGATGTTATACAGAGTATGTTGTTATATTGTTAAAATAATAAAAAAAATTTATTTTTTGGCATTTACCTTTTGGTTGACTTCATCATCTATGCCTGCAGGTTAGGTCGTATTCCAAGTAAAGTATATTGGATTATTTTGATTAGATTATTATTATTCTATTAATAGATTTAATGTATTAATGTACTTAACCATATACATCTTCGTTTTGAACTGATTCCGAAAGTAAGGTATATTCTATCATCTATGCATTATAATATTTACAAACATTATTTTGCGATCGCCAGATGAGTGTGTAATTACTGATATCACGGTGTTATATTAAATACATTGATTTGTTTATCATGAATGGTGTAGATATGCTGAGAACATTGCCCAACTTGGATTGGATTCCATTTGGCTTTTAAATTTTAATATTTAATCATCGTATGTAAAGAAGTATAAATGAAGATATACGTTACTTGTATTGAAACAATGTGAGAGATATCACAGTGTAATTGCATTCTGAAGGGCATCTTAATAACATATTGACCTGACCACGTAAATATATTCTAAGCCAGACTTAAATCGCATTCACTGTTGATTAGTACTTATGACAAAAATGTTACTAGGACTATCTCCAATGTGTTGAATAAAATCGATGATAACATCTTGAACCTATAAAAGTAAGGACATCATTTTTTATTGAATTTAATCATGAATTACAGTCATATCATTAAAATTTGTGATTATGTATTGGATTAATCTTATGTATTGTGATAAAATATATATTATGTTTGTCAAATTGCATTAAAAATCCTTTTTAAGCGATACAAAAAATTGAATATAAAGCGCTGAGAATATATTTGTTAGGTTATATGTTGGTTTTGTAAAAAACACTGAGTATTATGGAATGTTCTTAGATTATATATTTACCTTTAAGTTGGTCAGATTATGCTTTCTATTATAGTGTTCTTCTGTGTCACTTTATTATTAATACACATATTATTTGCACCTCATTGATTATAAACTTTCTTCTTATTTCATTATCTTTTGTCACGTCAAAGAACTTTGGTGTTATTCGATCATAGATAAAATATTCCTCAAGCTTCTGTAACTAGAATTTTCAACGGTTTTAAAAAATTTGTAGTGATGCGAAAACAATTTATTTACTCACCTTTCACACACAGGGATGATACAAGTTTTCCATTTGGGTGCTTTGTGTTTCTATATTACCGGTTAAATTTCTTGTTAAATCTAAGAGTTGTCATTAAATTTATTTAAGATTGTTTTCTGTAAGGCAGCGATTTTCGGGGATACGCAAATTGTCGTATGTGCTGTTTTAACTTTCTCACTATTTCCGTTCACGTTTGCAACCGCGCTTTGGATATTTTCAATCTTCTCATCTGTTTTTGAACAACTTCCGTACTGTTGACTATTGGAACTATCATCTTGTTCAATAGATTTCAAATTCTTCAATGAAATATCTTTTATTTCTTCTTTCGACGTCGTAGATTTTGAAACTTGGGACTCACTTACAGTTGTTTTTGACAACTTCGAATTTGTTTGTAAGACTTTCATAGATTTTTCCTCCCACAGCTTGATTCTACTTAATACACTAATCCCTTTCGAGCACTGACTCAATTTGTTACAGTCTTCTGAGCTGCAAATTTCATCAATTGGATCGCCTGTATTGCTAGCATAAAGACTATCAACTGTAACTACAATATCTTTATCATTGTCAGTTTTCAATTCATTATTTAAACATGTACTTTGAGGTATCAAAGCAATATTTGCACATGTTTGATGGAAGGCAATGATACTTTGTAACGAATCATTTTGATGAATATGATATCTTGCTATAGTTTTAGTATTCGCTACATTTCTAGACTCTTTGGTAGAGTCATCACTCGCTAATAATTGCTTTTCATCTAATGAATCCGTTTTCGATTCAAAGTCTGTAATTTCTTCAATTGTAACAGATAAACTAATAGCATTAGATTGACGTTTCATCAAAGCATTTTGTTTCAAACTTTGTTTATTGTTTGCCTTCATGGACTCATAATAATGAATCCATTGCATTTTTTTATAGCATTCACAGAATAAGTTACTTGGGGTCCTGGGAATGCGGAAGGGGATTTTAGTGATCGCTACTGCTAACTCGTTTTGCATATTATTCAAATTTTTTTTTCCATTGAATTTATCTATATATGTACATAGTTTGCACAATCTGAAACATTTCATTAATTGAATTAAATACTTTGTGTCTTTCTTTGATAGATTGAGACATTTTAAACTTTCTTCTGTGATGTCTTCACCTTTACTCTTATTTCTTTCTCTTTGAATTTTTAAGTAAAATTTCAAGTCATTATACTCCAATTGAGGTACTTTCAATGATGTACCACTATTAATTGCGGAAAACTTTAGAATTGCTTTAAATAATTGTGAGTTTATAAAAGCAGTGAAACTTGTGGGGCTTATTTCATCTTCATCGAAAAGTAATTTTGAATTTTGATCCTCCATTTCCAAAAAGGTTGCCAAACTAAAATTTTGATTTTTTGAAAATATTTTACTTGAAAATATAACAACTAAAATAAAAATAAATTTAAATTGTAAAAGAATAATTTTTCTTCTACTTATTGCTTGCTTCGTTCAATGAAAAAACTCAGAGGTTGCTTGTATATTTTTTTTTGTCTCACTTACAGTAAAATTGAATTGACAATTTATTTGTAAAGAATTTTATTAAAAATTTATTAATAAATGTACTGGCGTACACGGAAACAAAAACAGTTGTATGATCAACCAAGAATCAAATTAATTAAAAATAATAAAAATGTTTGTTGTTGCGATTCACTACTGCGCGATTTACTACTGCGCGATTTACTACTGCGCGATTTACTACTGCGCGATTTACTACTGCGCATTGAAAAGAATGCTTTATATTAAGAATAGACGTTGGAAATCAATTTAATGCAAATTTTACAATACAATTATATAGTTTACCATTTCGTTGATATTTACAAAAATATAATTCTATTTGTAATGAAGAGACCCGTCTCCGACTTGACCTCATTTTATCAAGGAACTCTCAAAGTTTACAAGTTAATTTACAAATTAACTTTGATAAAAATTCGGTTTGATAACTTCTTGAATCTGGTTTTATAGCTAATGTTTCAAGTATTTATATAGTGATTATAAGTAGTATAAATACCAAATCTTCACTTTAGTAGAAAATTAAATTGAAATATTCTTTTCAGAAAGCTACCAGTCTAAATATCAAACTTTCAATATCATTTGAATCACAAGCACAGAAAAATGGAGCTATAGTCAAAGTAAGTAAAAATTAGCGCAAAATAATTTTTCTTCTTGTTCACCGATTAATATGTATTATACCCCGCCCTGATGAAGAAGTCAAACAAATTTCGAAACGTGGTTGATTATATACAGACCACTGTATTAATAATAATAACAAAAATAAAAAGTAATCTATAAGCTTTTTTTTTTTTTTGTGTTTATATCCTTTTTATTCAACAATTAATATGTATTACACCCCGCCCTGATGAAGAAGTCAACCAAATTTCGAAACGTGGTTGATTATATATAGACCACTGTATAATAATAAGAACAAAAATAAAAAGTAATCTATAAGCTTTTATTTTTTTTCTGTTTATATCCTTTTTAATCGCCAATTAATATATATTATATAAAGCTAGAACATTTCCTTTAAACTTAAATTAATATGAACTTTAACAACATTTAAAGCTTACTCAATGTTGTCAATCTTGCATAAAGGTTAGAAGGATTCTCCTGCTATATATAAGTTAGAAATGAAAGATTTGTATATTCCAAGAAAAGCTTCCCGTATATGTTTTAGTTTAAGACCTATATTTTTTCAAAATCCGTGATTAGTTTTAATGCGTCATCGAGACACATCAAAGGAAACTATTAATTTTTATGTATAATTTAACAAAGAAAAATACAAGCCCAAGGATAATCGCAAGGTTGCTGTGGTGGCGTTTAAGAGCGCCATTTTGTAGCTTTTTGTTGTCGCTTTTTTGTCACTTTTTTGTTGCTGCCACTGTTATTGTTACTGTTACTTTTACAGTGGCTGGCTGCTGTTGGCATTGAACTGTGCACGGAAAATTGGTTATGCATAGAGGATATTGTGAATATAAAAAGCGGATTAACATAAATTTATTTGTGTTTGTATTGTACTTTTACTTGCGAGCATTGATATGGGATTTGCCTTGTTAAGCTTAAAGTCCTTTTTTCCGATATCTTTCCGTCCGTTTTTTTTTTGTTTGGTTGTGTTGTGTATATGTGTGTGTGTGTTTTTTTTTTGTTTTTTTTTTTAAATCGGGGTTTGTATATACATATATTTTTGTTTTTTTTTAAACAAAGTTGTTTGTGGTGTATTTGAATGTGAATTCATTTTTGTCTACTTACATTGCTATTGTTGTTGTTGATGTTGTTGTTGTTGTTGTTTTTCCTTTTGTTGCTATTGCGTATGGCAATAGCTGCGCCGTATAAGGTTAGCGGTAATTTGCCCTTAGGGGGGGACACCTGTGTTATTTTTCATGTCTCAATTATTTTCTTTCTTTTTTTTTGTGCTGCTTGTTTGTAGAGTGACAAATCCCAAAGGTGTTTTTTTCATATCCTTATTTTTTGGCCCCATAAATAAATAAATAAATGAATAAAAATGAACGGTACACACAGACCGACCATTCGATACAATTTAATAAAAGGACAATTTGTTTGCATTTAAATTTTCCTTAAATGCTAAATAAGCAATTAAAATTTTTTTTGCAATAATTTTGTTTTTATTTTTATTTTTAATTATTTTCTTTTTCCGTTTTGTAATTTGCTCACAGCTATGGAAAATTATATTAATAGTTTTATTGCTATTATTATTTTTAATTTTTCTTTTTTTTTGTTTTTTCTTAAATGTATATATTTTACAATTATTTCTGCTTTACTGTTGCACTACAAAAAACTTAATCACATACATATATTAAATGACTCTCAGAGTCATACAATTATTTATTTTCATTTATTTATTTATAGTGTTATTTATTTTATTTTTTTTTTCCCATTTTATTTGTATTAATTTTCAGCTTGTTTTGATCTGTTAATGGAAATTAATATGAATTTTTGCTTTTGACACCGCATTTCCATTAACTGATTTTATTGTGTGTTTATATAGATATTTACTTTAAATTAAAAATCAAAATAATTAAAATATTTATGCAAAATGCAGTGCAAATATATGCCTGACAATGTGTAAAAGCGATTTTATGTATTTATAACAAAACAATTAACTTACAATTTTTATTCACCAAGAAATCGTTTAATGTTTTGTATTAATTTTACTTAATGTATTTATAGAAAATGCACAAAAATTTAAATCATTTTTAATTATCTACATAATTATATTCAGACAATGTTTGATTGCATCATCGTATTAAATAAATACAATGAAAGCATTATTGAATGGACGCAGTCATAAACGAGTAGTTCTCCTAGCCGTGCAATGACCTTAGTTGCCAGCAAAGAAGATAAAGTCAAACTTCCATAAGTCGAGCTTCTATAACTCGAATTTTCTATAACTCGAATAAGAAAGAGTGCAACACGGTTTTAGAGAGCAAATTACATGCAATTCTGATTCCAAAACTGGAGCCTCTATAACTCAAATGTTCTTGAAAAACATTGATGTAGTTCGTGAATTTATGTTAAAGTGAAGTAAAAGTAAAGTAAGTAAAATAACTTTAATTAAATTAAATACAATAATTATAATACATAATAATAAATACTTATATAAACTGGTTTATATAGGACAACATTGCATAAAACTAATTTTAGTTAATTAAATTAAAAAAAATTTAAATACTTTATTAAAATAAATTTTTGTTTAAAATCCCAAAAATAAAATGAATTTAACGAAATCAATATATATAATATTGTTTTTATATTTTCTGGTAAAAAAATTGATACGTTTTATAAAACTTAAATATTAACCGGAGTTATTGTACAAGCAGTGATAATGTTAAATTTATTGCGACTTAAATAAAGAACGGAAATAATAAAGTGTATTCATTACACTCTCAACTGACCGGAAGTGCAATGCAATTGGAAACTTCCGTTCATATGCAAATGTGTGTAAATGAAGTCATTACACTGCATATGTTTAAATTTCTTGTATGCTAAAGTTTTTTCTAAAATGTGGAAACCAAGGGAAAAAATTCATCAGTACAAATTTAAATTGATATATAATGGATTTAAAAACATATTTTTTACGATATTTAAAAAAATTTAATGATTTAAAATATAAAAAAAAATTATTATACATCAACACTGTAACTATTAAATAAAATTTAAATAAATATATTTTATAATAGATTTTTGCATTCCCTCATTTAATATGTTAAGGCATTTTCATTTGAGTTTTATTATGTTAGAACTGAAGGAGTTATAGATAGAGTTTTAGATATAATTAAAAAAATTCAAAGAACTTGTTGAAATCCTTGATTCTGCAAACAACGGCAATGTTATATATGGAGAGATTTTTAGCGTAAGGATAGAGTAAACGCCAATAACACTTTAACTACAGCAGAGATCAATAAACATGGTAAACTACTAACCCCAGTAATATGAATATGTAATCTAATATAAAACAAATTTATAGTATCAAAATCA